GAGCAAAGATCAAAAGCTTCAACTAATACTGCGGGAATATATTTCTTACTTTGAGCACTGACTGCATTCAATTCATTGGTNCCGTTTGCTGATACCTTCTAAAACGAGATTCTTGCAGAAAGTAATCATTCCAGACGCTATTTCCTACCGGAATAATTGCACAGAAACAAGAACATATCTGCATGTTTCTATGCAATTTTCTGATATCCCGGCTACATTAGAATCGAACCTGGAATTTGCAGAATGCCTACCATCATGTTGCACACCGTGCGGTTTCGAACATTCCTATTGCGAATATCTTACAATGGCTGATGTTCAAGACATTAGTGCACTATTTGCACCGACCCTTCGCAACAGTGCTTTGCTCTCGAACACCCTCGGAGAACCAAGACAAAACGGATCTGCTAGGAGGCGACTCGCGGCACATCGTCTAGGTCACCGGCAGCCTCGGGTGGCAACCCGCCGTTTTTATCCCGCATTCACATTCACTAAGCGAGTAATAAAAGCTTAAAGCGTAACATTATACGAAGAGAAAATAGAGAGCCGTGCCCTAAAAAAGTTCGTCTACGGGGTGGTTATCCTTGAAAGGATCTATAAACGTTGCAGCTGGCTCCAAGAAGCTGATAACTGCACCTCCACAGGAATACTCGTCTTTGCGTGGATATAGTGGCTAGTGGGACCATTAGCAACTATAGGATACGATAATGTCGCACGATGATGATGTGTGACAGCCAATGAAATGCTACCAGAAGAAACCGTATTTTACCTACCCGTATCGTATCTCGCACCAGTGATTTGATTATGGGCATTATCCAGAGATTCCCTGGTCGCGGATGAGGGCATATGATCACTGAATTGCCCATGAACAGCTACATATCTTGTAATCCCTCTGTTTATGCAGTTGTGCAAACCCAATCTAACAAGTACTCCTTCACGGGTCCAATCGATAGGATTCTGCAGACGATCCTATACTTCATGATGGCTATACTATACTTCTCGCCTTTTATCAAAGCGTCAACAAAACGATAATTTCTTCAATCGAGTTTTTGGATATTACCTCCCTTTTCAGCCTCTTAGATGAGCCTTAGATGAGCCTTGAGCCTTATTTCTTACTTATAACTCAAAGGCACAGTTCAATAAAAAGGTCTCTGAGATATACCTTTAGGATAAAACTATGCGGAAAGAAAATTCAGTACGGCACTCGGCTCTTACAGTAATCCGGCTCGACATAACCCCATTCTAATACGCAAATTCCCACCCGGAGAGGAGGCTAGGGGGTTACTGTATGAACCGAGTGCCCGTACTGAATTTTCGTTTAGTTTTATCCTAAAGGTATATCTCAGAGGCCTTTTCATTGAACTGTGCCTTTAAGTTATCAGTAAGAAATAGGACAACACAAATGACCTCCAAATATTCTGTTAAGGACCCTTTTACGATTTTCGTGTCACTTCAATGACATGTGTCAATGACAGCTCACAGAATTATTGAAGCGAGTCGTTTCCGTTGATAACAACCTTCGCATTTTCAAAATAACCTCTCTATTAGTTTTGCTTTGTGGATTGCACGTATTTGGAAAGTTAATACCCTTATCGAGTCAAGGAGGAATCATCAGATCATAAAGATAAAACATCTTGACCAACACTCCACACTTCCAACACTTCACATCAGAGAACACGAGTAAACAAAGCAATCAAGAAATAACTCCAGGACTCCGTCGCTGCATTACTTTCATCATGGATCCAGTAATCTCTGAGAATCATGTTCAATTGTTGACCAGTAGCATTAAATATAAAGAGTTAGGGAAGGATATGACGCTGTGTCTTCAGATGAGGCGGATAGAAGTTGATAAAAAAAAAACCTCTCACAAATCCTATTTGGCCTCAGCTTTTGTTTCACATGTGCACTTATATCAGATAGGTTTTATGGATCTTTATCGTACATTCTGTAATATCTTTCAAACGCCGAATTCTCAATCAAGACATTCGCATGTAAGAAGTAAATAGATCTAGTTGAAGCCGATAATACATCAACAGAGAGAAAAAGAATACATATCTATGTATAAAATTTGTTGAGAAACAATAACGATCTACAATAATAACAACGTTTTGACCTGTATTGTATGAAATTAGAAACCTGTTATCGAAGAAAACAACAACGTTGGAGTGTGAAACTCCCGTGCGGATTTACCGCTGTGATATGGGTGCTTTAACCAAAATGCCTGATGTTGTCCATTAAATTCAGATGGATTAATACGAAATAGATAATTCATCTGAAGATCACGACAACGAAATGGACAGCTCTACTTTTTAACACAAGCGAAGAAAGACCACTTATGAAGCTATAGAAGCAGAAGACCAACTACATATATTATAACTCGCAGTGCATCTTTTCGCATTCCGTTTGCTAGTGCGCCCGGTCAAAACGTAAAGGACGATCGTTATTGGTAAAGCTATTACAAGCATTCATGAAAAAAACAAACAAGCGAATTCGGTGAATATCAACGTTGAAGAAATAATTATTCAAAGACAAACACTTTGTAATACTTCTATTCGACGGCAATAAATAATATGCTTGATCGCCCGGCTTCCCGAAGCTATGTAGATGAAGGCGTTAGCGCAAAAATAGAATATAAACTACAATACGACTGCGCGAAATAGGCCCATAACACCGGCGGAGAGCAACCCTTGAAAGAAAAAAAAACATTGATCAAACGATTCCTTAAAAAATCGATTTATCAACTAACCAGCAACGGGCAGTGTAACAATCCAACTGAGTGAGATATTGCGGAATGTAACCCAACGGACAGAGTGACTCGCTTGTACCAGACCAACTGCCACAACAGAACCAACCTGAAACTAACACATTGTAGCAAGTACATGCATGCACCGCACACATGAACAGCTCCGTTGTACCTCCAAAACGGTGCTGCTTTGAACTCTACAATCACTAAATCTGATTAACTGTTAAGTAAACGAGTCAGACTACGAACTCATATAGAAGAAAAAGAAGAATACAACGAAAAAGGCTAATACATCGAGTTCTCACTTTGCATTGTGTTGAGGATATTGGAAGGCCTAGTTTAGAGGCCACGAGAACAGTCACTGCTGCTCCAAACTCGATTGCAAACCCACTGAAACGAATAGCTACTAAAGATTACTCGTGAGCGTTAAGCATACATTGCAAACCCGGTAGTGAAAATTGGGAACACTTTTTTGGGCCAGCTTTCACTCGAATGAAACGGAACTAACCTCGGAGGAGTAATTTTTGTGAGATTTTCACCCACTGTATAAATAACACGATGGCCCAACGTCCACAGACCGATACACATGCCAACTGATCCGTAGAACAAAAGATATCTAAAGACAATCACTGAATGTAGAGCCGCTCATTTAAAGACAGCCTGAAAACATACCCTGGTGTATGCAGTGTTTGAGCCGATGAGCCTTCCTGATAGATGACGTACAGGCTGACGAGAGGAGCAATGGCGTTACTGAATATCTTGCATAGGAACTAATTCAAACCATCCAAAAGAGGCATGACACAACGAAAGAAATGATAACAACTTACCTGACGTCATTGCCACCATGAGCGAACCCTCCAAAACAGGCTGTCATCACTTGGAGAAGCGAGAAAAGGAGAGATGCCTGCGGATCTTCGGGTTTCGAAGAGCGAAAGAAGGAGGCGACAGATGATGACGGAGCAACTGCATTTAAAGCTAAATAGAACGTGAAGACAAATGCAGGCTTCTAAGTAAAGACTTGCAACAGAAGGTGATTTTGGCAAGAACAGCCAAGAAGAATGTACACGCACCATGTCCAGATGTACCACTGTTCTTCATATCTTTATCCTTGAGAGGTCCTCCACTTTCAAATTCGAGAAGAGCCGCTTCTAGAAAAGAGCAAAGATCAAAAGCTTCAACTAATACTGCGGGAATTCTTACTTTGAGCACTGACTGCATTCAATTCATTGGTGTTGTTTGACTCCAGATCTGCGCGAGCTGCAATGAGAACGAACTACGACGAAATTTGATAAAAAGATGAAAAGTGACTGACCCAGTATGCTCCGTTTCAGCCATGGCGCTATAACAAACTTTGCAACAATTGCAGAAATTACACCGCCAACGCAGGATATGAATATACAGTATTTCAGGCTCAGTCGATCAAAGTACAAAACTGCAAACAGGCATAACTCGTATAAAACAAGACAACGTTCTTATTTCACCACTACCAGCACCCCATACTATGGGTAAATCCAAATGACTTAAAGTGCCACATCAAAGACGAAATTAATGCCAATGAATAAAATGATGCACGAATAGCATTCTCACCCTAGCCGGTAGTTGGCAATTGAGATGCCACCACTTATGGACACCCCTTACAACATTACTCAAATTTGCAAAATATCTCGAAAATGTGATTACGAGGTCTTCCATCAAATTACCTTTTCCTGATGAAATGGAACTCACACTCAGATCCTTCGTATATAATAGCGAAAATGTTGAAAGTCATACAAGCAAAATACAGCACCGGCAAAATATTAAGGCCACTAGCAAGAGGACGGCTCTGAAATCAGAGAAAATTCACAGCTTCTCCTTTGCTGATAATGAAGCACAGAGTTATAGTTTATAGTGTAATTTTTTTCACTTTTCACAACTAATTAATAAATAAATTATTAATTATTATTAATTATTTATTAATTAATAATAAATAATTAAGTCAAGCATCATGCACAATCACGATGCTTTGGACAACCCGACATTTTTATAGACTACTAATGACTTTTTCCAACACTGTAGACTCATTAGAGGCACTCAGACACTAAATCCAATAAGTGTGTGGCTTGAACCGCCTTATGCCATCATTACGCGTGGAAATGCACATCAAAGTGCCTATCAGATTCTAAACAGAAGTCGGATAGTAGGCACATTTCCAATGCTTTTCATTCCACATTTCGAAAAAGCAACACCCTTTAGTGACCGCTTCAATGCCCAGAGAAACATTCTTGTATCATATCTGTTCCACGCATCTTTCAGTCAAGGGAAGCGTCTATCCAGCCGACTGGCAACCATTTCAGTGGAAAAATGCGCCAGTTCATAAGGATCATGACGTGACAACACGTCAGAAAATTGCAATCCGAAACACAAAACTCGTGCCAAGTGATAGTTTTCATAACAGAAAGCATAACCTTCCCATGCCCCTCCATGGCAACATCTATATTTTTTCCCAAGATCGACCAAATTTCGTCTCACGATCAATCAACAAAGAGCATACCGCGACTGCCCCATTCATCATCTATCGGGGCAACCACATTTCAATGAAAGAAAAACAGCGCTCAAGGCTGCGCCGTTTCACGCCTACGGGACTGCTATCTTATCGGGATCACGTTAAGAAAACATTGTTTGACCTCGTCACTTGTCTAAAGACGGAGGATGTCATCAATACATCGCTTCTAGTAGCACCATGTAGCACAAAAGCATCATCATCTTATAAACAAAGGCAGGTTCTACATATTTGCAGATCAGTAATCTAGCACTCACCCTTCTAAGAACAAAATGATCGATTATCACGAAGAATACAACTGATACAATACCGGACAGAAGAGGTGAGACAATCCAAGACGCAACTGAAAATAGCTAATTGATAGGTACACCGGTTCACTGAAACAGTTACCAATAAACAGATATGCACTGGGTCCAGAGAAAACCGAAGTAATTTCTCTGATCTAGCCATTTTCGGATCCACCTTCACGTTTGGATAACTCTCTTTACTCAAAAGTAAAACAACCCACAAATGCGCGAGATCTTATTCCAGCGGATACCCTCAGTGCCTTTCAGCACCATAGAGAATCCAATAGTAGCACCAACAATTGAATGCGTTGTGGACACAGGAAGCTTGAAAAAAGTGGCAAGCAACATCCATGCACCGCAACCTGGAGCTCATTAAAATAAGATGCAATGAGAAATAAAATAAGATGCAAGAAGAGGAAACAATCATATAAACATATTAATAGATAAATAAGCAAGTAAACAGATAAACAAATTAATTAATGTTATTCGCACCAGACAGGATGGAGATTTGTCCATACATGAGTTCGAGCTCACTGTTATTGTAAACGGCAAGATCAATCACTCCCTTACGCATCGTGTCCGTCACTTTATGCCCTACAAAAAGGAAAATCCAGTCTTTGATTGTTAAATTGTACTTGACACTACAGAAAGAAGGCCAGCACCCACCAAGAAGACATGCTCCAAGTGTTTCGAAAACGCTGGCAAGAATGTAGGCCTGAGTAAGAGTGACGACCTGAACAGTACAAAATTAGTGTGAAAGGATACGAAATACAGTGCACAACTCAAGTCACCTTGCTGCCCACACTGGTACCGAACGAATTGGCTGTGTCATTTGCACCAATGGCAAACGCAAGAATGAAAGCGATGACCGCACCGACGACGAGCCATGGTAAAAGAGCCGATTGGAACGCGGCAAGATCTTCTATCATTTTACGCGATCCTTAAGATTTCAATAAAATTGTATTAATTCATAGAATCAATTAAAATGTGAATCAACGACGTTCACAGAGTTTCGCGAAATTGGCTGAAAAAGGGCGCAATAAAAAAAAGATTTCTAACATCGTTGTAGATGGGCTAATTATATAAAATAGCGAGTAAACATTTACATCAGCACCAAGCTACTCTACTGAATATTATTAGCGGTATTGTGTTGGTTGAGGGAAGGGGCTCTGAGAATGACCTGAAGTAGATGTCTAGTCCAACAATCGTAAAACTCAATCAAACGCAAAACAATAAATACAATAGACCTGGCTGGCTGCTTACCAACAGACAGTGTGAGGATAACACACATGTCACCCGATTGAAAAGTCCCCTTTCCCCTCAAGGCAATGAACGACCCCAAACGTTAACCTACGTTACTTCGACTTATTGCGCGCTCCCAGTTGCAGTAGCGAACTAGTCTCAAGACTCACAGCGAACATGTGTACATTAAGAAGAAACTAAAACATAACTGCTCCTAAAAATCATAAACAGGGGCGGTCTATAGCTGCCAGCCGCTAACTTCGTTGCTCTTGACGTACCCCACAAGATCTATGATAAGAGAGTGAAGCTCTCACGAAATAACTCTGCAATGGAGTCAAACACTGGCAGATTTCGCGGTTTCGAAGTGAAAAAGACTCGTCATTTAAACCTTTTGTGACTTACAAAGTACGAAGTTCAAAGGTGTTCGAACTCAGGCTAGAATAGAGTCAAACTTGGAAGAGTATGGAGAAAAATGAACTTGGAAGAGTATGGAGGAAAAAAAATGACAAAGAAAAACTCTTTCTTGGCCACTTCACCGTGAGCGACTGTGAAGAAGGTAAGATCGTGATGTGTCACAACTAAAGATGTCATGATTCGATTAGTGTTTCTTGACTCTAACCTTAAAAAGCACGCACGTTAGAAGAAAAGATTCAGACGCGAAGAGAGGACGAAGGACGAAAGGACTACCACTTAAATTACCTCGTGCGCGTAAACCAATAGCTGATAACGACACATCACGCTTCCCATGAAAAAAAAAGATAAGGCAAAAACCGGAAACAAAGTGAACAATTGATAAGAGACACATCAGCTGGAAAGGGTCGAATATTCACCACAAAAAGCCTATGAGAGGGAAATCAATAACTGAATCCATCACACCCCCGTTTTATCAGTTACATAGCATAGCAGTTTCATAATCTCAAGTCTACAGGGACTCGGCTGATGGCGTAATGGACGCTGTCTCGATGCAGTTCCCTTTATCTCTTGCTACCATCATGGGACTATCTTTGTCAAATGCGAAAACAGTAGGCGCGCTGCAAGAGCTACCTTCCTACCAGTTAGCTTAAACAGTACCAGATATCAAAATCTATCTCGAAAGCCCTACGCTCATCACTCGCACTGAAGAACCTGGGACCAATTAAAATGAAAGCTTCTCGATTCCTAGTGTTCTTATACTCGTTCAAGGAAACACCTGGTTGAAGAACAACAAGCCATCATGGGACTATCTTTGTCAAATGCGAAAACAGTAGGCGCGCTGCAAGAGCTACCTTCCTACCAGTTAGCTTAAACAGTACCAGATATCAAAATCTATCTCGAAAGCCCTACGCTCATCACTCGCACTGAAGAACCTGGGACCAATTAAAATGAAAGCTTCTCGATTCCTAGTGTTCTTATACTCGTTCAAGGAAACACCTGGTTGAAGAACAACAAGGGAGGGTTACTTCGTAACAGCAAAGTCGACAAAGGGGAAAAACTAAAATCTGCAATTAACGACGGAAGTTCAACTCATGGTCAGATCGAGATCGCAGAGTATGGCTGGTTTTAGATCGGAGTCTCCACAAAAAAAAATTGCGGAGAAGAAGTCAAACAATGGTAGAACACCCACAAAACATGTTCCGAAAGGTAATCTTATCAAAGTTTAGAAAGCACCATAAGAGAATGCAGAGAAGTAGGCAATAGAAAGCACCATAGGAGAAGGCAGAGAAGTAGGCAATAATTCCTAAGAATAGCCGAAGTGGGAAGTGAAAAACAGGCTTATCAGCTCAACGCTGTGAAAGTTTTCAATCACCGCATCGCTAAAAATGGAAATACCTGCTAGGTCTGCGAGAATGACGAAAAATCCACGACCGCCCTCCCACCTGTTTCACCTAATGGGGAGTATGTACTACGCCCAGCATCATTCCAGGTTACTTTACCCTCTCTAGATGTGAAAAATCCCAGCCGTAAGATTGGGTAATACATTTTCCACCTTGCCAGAGCCGTTCACCTTTCATATATGCTGTTGTTCTGTACAGTTAGTCGAGTAATCTAGTATAAGGTTACCAATTTCAAACAGCTGCCCCCATCGTGCAATTAATGAGAGAATGGTGGCATCTCATTTTCAGTAATAGTAACTATTGTCAAAGTGAACAAATCAAACAACTATTAAAAATTCGATCATTAGATGGCCAAGTACTAGCTCATTAATGAAAAATACTTAACTCACCTTGGTGAAACGAAAACGATGAGCTCGAAACTCGGTTGCAGGATGTGCAGTCGCCTACAGATAGGCGAACCAAGCAATACAAGCGAAGCGACCAAACAGTATCTCTGGCGGTAGCTTTTGACTAATTACCCCTGAAAGTAACTAGTTCATATACAAGACTAAATCTGTAGTACCACTAACTAAACGAATACACGGAAAAAACAGTGACACAACGGTAAGCGGTACGAAAAATTGTCGGTTCAAATAGTCATTTATCAGAAGCAACTGCCTGGAAAAAAAGACATCATGATATCATGAAAAGGTGCAAGAATAGAGTTCGGACAGCATTTTGCAGCCTGCACAGTTTGCAAGTGGCCTAAGCGCCTGTTTCCGTGGAGAACGAAGACTGTTCCACCGAAAAGATTTAATGCAAACAAAAGATGAAGGATTGCGATGGGGGTGAATCGAACTCAGCAATCAGCGATAAAACGAAGATAAAAGGCGGAAGATCAAAAGAGTTATCATTAAGGTCGTGCACAAGACTGACCGCCTTATTTATCGGTCGAAAGCAACATGAGAAACGATATCAAATGATAGACGGTATTAGTGCTTGTTCAGAAATGTAAGAAAACCCGTGCGTTGTCTGTAATATCGAGGAGAAGGATTCAATGAGAAATTCACTGACTGAAACAGAAAATCCCACGAAAACAAACAATTCCTGTATTCTCACATTGGAAAACAAAAATATGCAGCGGACAAGACACAATTTCTCGGACGAGTTTCACACAATCACAAAAAGTCTAAAAAGAGGAAAAAGATTTTGACGTTGATCAATCCCGCTCTGGTATGCGCAGCGGATGAAAATGTAGTTGGGTAAAGGAGGAGTGGGCGCCGCTCCTCCAACATTAAGCGCTTGAGCCCAGAGAACGAGGGGTAGCCAACTTTACTTGTGCTCAGAGACGGTTCTTGCCGAAGGACTATAGTTCCTACGCCAACCTGAGGAGAAGAATAGCACCGAGTAGGTCAGTCATTTGAATGTTCATGAACGACTCGGTTTGGGTGGCTTTGCTGGCCTGGGTGAGACCTGTTTCCGGATTCAATTCCCATACCACATGCATTTGATGAATAGCCACTTGCTACTACGTCACCCTCGCTATAACAAACCACGTACAAACGTTAGATAAATAAGAAGAAAGAAAACTTCTGAAACATTTGAAGGAGAACAACTTTCAGCAATTGCACTAATTAACATTAGAGCACGAAAACTACGGAAGGTAAGAGCACTCCTTGCCAGCAGTCACCACTTCATAAGATCTTATCAATTTGTTATCATTCAGATGATTGATTAAACTTAGCAGTGTGACTTTCAGAGTAGGTTGAAATGCGAATAACCTATGTATCCTAGTGTAAAATGTGTTACTGCACTATTTCAAGGAACGCGCACACGACGACGTCGAACGATGGCAAAGAATGAACCTTACGTCACGGTCAAGCATCGGAGAAGAGATGGCGCAAATCAGGTATCTCCAATTTCCATCGTTCTTTGCTCATGCACCTTTTCTTCTTTACACACTGCTGAATCGCAGAGTGATCACGTCACTCGACAGAGAAATCTATCAGTCAACTCAATCACCCTACGAAAAAAAAGTTCAGAAAACCTTGTTTCCTTTTTGGAAATTTTGCTACTCGAGGGAATTTCGTTCAAATTTCTTCCATGTACTCCTTCTGCGTGTAATAGATAGCAATAACAATGAATATTAGAACTACAGGTAAAGATAGGCCCTACAAGAAAATCTTGGAATATGAAAAACTCAGAACTAGAAATCCGAGAAATTAATTATATATTTGCTTACACTTATACAATGGAACAAACTTTACAAGAGTGAGGACTCAAACAGTAAACATACCACCTCTTCGTCTCACAATACGGGAACCCTACTCTACAATAATCCCGGCTGGTGAATCCAAATGGAATGCATAACCAGGTCATGATTACGCCAAATTGCCAGGTGTCATTTTACTAATTACATACTTTTAGTGCATCGTATATGATGTGGGTGCTCTCTGACTATCTGGGTTTTCTTCTATTATATCTCTCGCTATGCAAGGTTACTGTATCACAAAATCCTTTACACTTATTTCGTCACGAAATCTCGCAAGTAAATTAATTGNTGGAACAATGGTGTACACTAAATTTGCTCCAACGCAGGATGAAAATCCTGGAAGTGAAACACATACATATTGATCAACTCTGGCCTATTTTCGTGTTGTCATCAGTCAATAGTTTCGAGTTAGAGCGAGGCTGCTAATGAAGTCGATTGGGATCAGTATCCGCGGTATTTCCTATGTAACATTTACAAGATCAAGTGGAGTTCAAGTATGAACAATGGATGAGTTTTCTAGTGTCGCTCTCTTGAACAGGCCATCAAACAACGATGAAACCACTTATTGACACTATTTGAGTTCAGGAGTGCGGGGCATGACATAGCTCACCTACGGTACTGT